GTAATACTAGTATATGTCTCGTTTTTTAGTAGAATAAAAGAGGTATTATAATAGCTCTTTCTTGTTTCTTTAACACAGGTTCGCTAGAAGGGCCGTTCTACTTTAAGAGGGTCATTAAATTCGTATAGGTTTATTAAGAGAGCCTCTTCTCTCTTAAGCGCTATAAGGTAGTCTCGCTTTTACTTAAGGCGCTACTCTACCCTTACTTAGGCGATCTTCTTGTTTAACTTAGTCTTACTTAAAGAAAGGATTTCTGTCGACATTTAGGGTGTCGTACTAGGTTTGCCGTTATCTACCTATAAAGAGGTATTCTAAAGAGTTACTTAAGAAGAGGCCTGTGTCTTGTTAGGGTTTATTTGTCGTGTCTACGTTATCGCTTCTTACTCTAATAGTCTGTAACCTTTTAGTAAAGGAGAGAGATTAGAATGTTAGGTATATTTCTATAGAGTAAAAGAGGTAAGAGTCGATAGACAGTCGTAGTATATTTAAAGGTATATCGCTACTTTAACTATAGACTAATCTCTAAACCCCCCTTCTTTTCCCTTCCTGTCCTTTATTCTTATACTCCTTAATGCCTACTATTACCTCGGTTGTAGCACACAGTTACCCTGTACTTGATTTCTAAGCTATTGTAATTTCACGTGTTAGCGTACCTAACACTAGTATTTATTTATTATATCTAATAAGAAGAATACTACAAAATTAGGCTTAACAAGAGTGTCTAAGACTCTTTTAATATTATGTATTAGATAGACTAGTTTAATAGTTACTATATTTATAAGTATAAAGTTATAAACTACTTGTATCTAGTCTAACCTTTTCTTTTTTAGTAGAAAAATAGTCGTAATACTTTATAGACTAGATTCTTATATTAAAATACTAGCTTCTTTTATCTCTAGAAATATTTATATAGTAAATTCCCTCTCTTACTATATATACTACTTTAGTTTATTAACTACTAGGACTATACTTAAGAATAAGTTAATAGTATACTTAATTAAATCTATAGGTTTTATATCTCTTATCTATAATATAAAGTAGTCTTTTTAAGTATATAACAATTGTCTAGTTATATCTATTTTTCTTACTATGTCTACTATATCTTTAATCTTAATTCTTATTTCTTTAAACTACTTATTAATTACTTACTATAATATATCTAACATTTCTCTTAGCTATAGTCGTTAGTTAATAAGAAACCTAAAGGCTATACCTTAAGATATAAGCTATAAGAAATTAGTTAATAAGGTTTATTATAATAGTTGTAATTTAAACAAGTTATTTAGTAGGTAATTCTTAAGATCTTAGATAATAAATAAACTAGCGTATATAATAGTGTTAATATAGTTAAGGCTTTAGTATACTAATAAGGGATTAATATATCTAGACTTATCTTTATACTAGTAAGGGGTCTAATTCCTTACTAGTACAATACTTTTCCTACTTAGTAAGTAGCCTAGTTAAAGGCTTTAACCTCTTATAAGAGTTAGTTAAGCTCTTTTTTATCGTCTTTATCTAAACTAACTATATTATTATTAGTATTGTTTTTATTATTAACTTAAGAAGCATTATCTCTTACTTAAGGCTTCTACTAGTTAATAATAATATATAGAGCTAGTACTAATAAGGTAAGTACATTAACAATTATTCTACTCTATTCTTATATATATAAAGTCTAATACTAATAATTCTTAACTACTCTTACTAGAGCTATCTAGTGTCTTAATAGTAATAGGTTATAAGAGTTGTCTACCTTTATAATAAACGCGTATAAGAACGTTCTAATCCTTATAATAATAACCTTAAGATTAATGTATTCTATAATAGTAATCTTTTTACTATTAGCTATAGTTATATACTAGCTAGTATTAAGTTAGTAAGCTTTAAGGCCTAGCTATTATACTACTTATAAAGGAATTAGCTTTATAATAGCTCTCTTATTAACTAGTACTTATATAAACTTCTTGTTATTAATATACGTATTTATATAAAGGTATTAGGTCTTTAGTATATTAGCTAACCTATTATTAATAACTTATAGTAGTAGTCTTTTTATAACTACTATAGTATTTAGGTTCTTATACTAACTACGTTTACTTAGTACCTTAGCTTAAAGGTAGTAGGCTAATTAGGCTTAGATCTAAGGTAACTAGTCTAGTAATTAACTAAACTTAAGAGTAATATTAGTGTTATAAAGAAATTCTCTAATATTAAATCTTATAAGTACTACTTTATCTAATAGTTTAATTAGAATAGATTCTTTAAGGCCTGGTTTTATATAGTTAGGTTCTTAAGGCTAGATAAATAGTATAGCTAGTAGTCTTAATAGATACTAGTATAGTTAAGGTTCTTAATCTTACTAAGTCTAGAATCTTTACCTTTAGCTTTAACGTCTCTTAGGTCTTTAACTCTTAAACTTATTAAATTAATCTCTTAAGATACGTATAGTTAGATATAAGGACAGGCGGTTTATAAGAGACTAGTAGTAGTTAGCGTAAGTACTATTAGTAATAGAGTTTAACTATCTTCTTTTCTTTTTCTTTTATTCTCTTTAGGCTAAGTATATAGTTAAGCCTTATTAGTAGTTCTCTAGTTATTAGTTAAATATATAGCTAGTATTACAGGCTTTAGAAGTATACCTAGTAGTAAAGCTAGTGCCTTTTGTACTATAGTCGTTATATTTAGAACCGCGTTTATACTATAGTAATAAACTAGACGCTTAGAATACTTATAGTATAATGTTACTACTATAGTAAGGAATTCTTTTAAAGACTTATTAGCTACTATCTTTAATAATTCTAATACTAACTAGTCTAGCTATTTAGCTAGATAGTTAAACTTATAGAAGGTCTAATTTTAAAAAACCTTAGATAGGTCTCTTATAACTATATATACTACTGTCTACTAGCTTACTAGTAAAAGGGCTACTAGATTATATCTAGTACGCTAGGTTTAAGATACCTTTACTTTCTACCTGTTGTTATAATACTAGAACTTAGTAACCCTAGGCTATAAGTATACTAACGCTATATAACCTAGCTTTAAGTAATTATAACATATTCTAGTATAAAACTAGTTTGTTACTAGTACGTAGTTAAGGAAAAAAGATTTAGTAGTTAATATAGTAGTAGTACTATAGTAGTCTTAAGTAGTTCTTTTAACTCTAGACTCTTCTTTAATAACTAATATAATTTAAAGTTAATTTAGCTTTATAAGACTACTTGTTCTTTATTCTACTCTTTCTTTTTTAGCTCTAGTAGATTAGGTTTACTAATAAGCCTAGTTACTATAATAAAAGCTAACTATATATCTTTAAACTTAGTATCCTTAACTAGCTGTCCTTCTTTATTAATCTTCTTAGCCTAGAAAAGATAGCTCTATACCTAGTACTAGAGTTTTATATTCTTTAGCTTACTTAATGTCTATTAAGTAACCTTTAATACTAAGGATATTAAGTATTTCTTACTTAGTTTTTCTACCTTTTATAAATATTATATATTACTCTTTTTATCTTCTTATTTTAAGTTATAAATCTACTACTATAGTAGAAATTATTAGTTAAAATCTACTTTTTTATCTACTATAAACTTTATTTTAAACTCTTTCTTTAACATCTTTTAGTCTATTCTTATAGTCTTTAGTTAGCCCTTATACTAGCTTTATACCTAACTAGTTAACCTGTACTTAAATACTACCTTTAACTATCTTGTCTTCTTATCTCTTATATATAAGTTAGTATAGTACTCTACTACCTTTATATATTTACTTACGTCTTTTCTTTTTGTCCTTTTAAAGGTTAGTTAAAAGATTAATATTATAATTACTTAATACTCTTTTAATAACTTTACTAGTAATTCTAATAGTAATATAGTTATAATTCTTATAGATAGTTATACTACTCTTATTACTATATAGTCGATCTCTTTTTTAGTTAGTCTTTTCTTAGCTTTCTCTAATACACCTCTTATACTAGACACTAGTATAGATCTCTTTACTAGTAACGATCTTAGAAATTTTAAGGTTAGCTTAAAGGGGTTAGACATTAATAATAAACTTAAAAGGTAAGAGAGAAAAGAGACAAAGATAATAAGAGAATTATAATAGTAATCCTTAATTACTCTTACTTAAGAAAGTACTACTATACTACTAGTCGCTTCTTATAAAGATTACTTTAATCTTTAATACTAGCTCTTTATAAACTACAACCTTTTTCTTACTCTTAACTACGCTAATAAAACTAACTTTAATAAGATAAACCTATTATTACTAATCTTCTCCTAGGGTCGCTATTAATAAGGGGGGTAGGAGTTCGTTATTAGTAGGTTAAATTCTCTAGATCTAACTAAGCTACTATAAGTAAGAAATAGCTAGCTACGTAAACCCTTATTATGTAAGCTACGTCAGGTAACTATTTTCTATCCCTACAGTACTAATCGTCGACCTTGCTTAAGCGTGTCGACTCTTTCGTGTTTAAGTCGACAAAAGCGATCTAATCGTCGACCTCGCTTAGGTGTAGGGAAATAGGCCAGTAAGCGAAATAGACCAGATAGAATTTCTTAGTAACTTGCATAGAAATCCTATCTTTTTTGATTACTAGCCACAGATTTTTCTTCTGTATTTATAGTTTTCTATTGGTTATAAGTAGAAGTTCTGTATACTATAGGCTAGTTAGTATAAGAGTTAATAATATATAAACTCTTGTTACTTGTATTAAAAGCCAGAGGGGGAGTCTCTTGTTTAATGATAGATGATTGTAGGGATGTATTAGAGAAAGGAGTATTGGCGTGGGGCAAAAAAAGGAAAATAGACCAGTAGAGGGCGGGGGGGGGGAGGTTATAGATGTAAAGTCATTATGCTTCTAGTACTGTAAAGAATACTGCGAATTTTTAAGACAAATTCTAATCAACTACAGTAAATTAGGACCAAAGATGTCACACAGCATTTGAGCACATAAAACCCTGATTGTAATTGCTTTTCTTCTTCTTTTTTTAGCTCCTTCATCAGGGGAGTTGCGCACCTGAATGCTTCCCAATCATCTCCTCTGCGTGCATCCCCTGTTCCCCAAGCACCCCCGCCTTCTTCAGTACCTCAACCGTCTTCTCCACAACACTCACATTGACACCCTTCGTCCTAGACGCGAACCTCACAGTCTTCAGCCACTCCGTCGCATCTTCTTTGCTGTAATCCAGCTCCGTACTTATATAAGTGACGGCCTCCTCCTGGTTCTTGTCGAAATAAGCAACCCCCTTGTCGAGCTTCTCAAACAGGTCTTCTAGCCTAGTATCCTTTTCCGTATCTGTAGATTTGATGAGCGCCGTGGAGGCGACGATCTGCCAGCTGGGCCATGGTGTGTAAATCTCCCCTATCCTCTTGATCTCGCCATTGTCATAGTAGCGTTTGGAGGTGAAGTGTTCCCACATGAAGAAATCCACCGTGCCGTCATTGACCCCGTTACGGAGCTTCTCGAATGTTTGGAGGGGAATGAATTCGAATGGAGGGGCCGAGGGGGAGAGCCAGCCTTGTTCATCGGCAAATACGAAGCCCATCACGTAGCTTCCTGAGCCGATCCGCGAGATGCCAATCTTTCCATTCTTCAGGTCCGCGACGGAGGAGATGGGGCGCTTGGCGCCAGTGGAGATCGCCCAGCCTGTTCCTCCCTAATCAGCGCTGCTCTCGACTATAGATGCCATAAGGATGGTAGAGAGGGACGTACACAAAGGTGTCTCAACATAAGTGCCCACAATCCGATACCCTCCGTCGCCCTCAATATCGGTCTTCCCCAAGCCCGCAACCCATCCCTCTGTAAGTCCAATACCCACATCAATTTCTCCAGCACGTAGCGACGTAATCATGTGTCCCGTACCAGAGGGAAACGGGATCAATGTTGCGGACAGACCGAAATATTTCGTTGCGAAGTGAAGCGGGGTTGAAAAATGTTCTGGGACGAAACCCACGCGGAGGGGGGCGTTACTGGCCATGGTATTGGGAAATTTGTAAAGGAAGAGGATGCAAACCGGAAACTCCCCTTTGAAGGAGGAGAGAAAGGATGAGTCGAGGACGATGTGATCACAGTTTCGAGGTTTGGAGGGGAAGAGAATGGAAAAGAGCATACCACAATGGATGATGCAGACGCGGCGGACTGTTGATAGATGCACCCCGCATCTTTCCCAAAGGGTAAGCGGTCAGCAAAGTAGCCTCAATTCTTCTGCCAACGAGGGGCGTCTCTATCACCAGTCCGGGGCGTGGTAATCATGACCCCTATGACGATGTGAACTGCGATGGTGGGGGCAGCGGCAGTATCCGCTCTTGACACGGTCTCGACTCCCGAGCTTCCAAAGACATCCAGACATACCCTTCTCGCCGCCACCCCTTCTCACCTTTCTCACCTTTCTCACCTTTCTCACCTTTCTCATCCTTCTCAGCTATAGACCCTCCTTTTCTTTCTACACGACTCAAACATCTCAATCAATATGGCTTCGACAACCGCCCAACGCCGTCTGCTCCAAGAATACCGCGCCCTGACCAACAACCCTCCCGAAGGCATCACCGCCGGCCCCGTCTCCGAAGACGACCTCCTGTACTGGGAAGCCCTCATCCAAGGTCCCGAGGGCACCCCCTTCGAAGGCGGCATCTTCCCAGCCGAGCTGAAATTCCCAAAAGACTACCCGCTCGCGCCGCCCAGCATGCGGTTCCTGGGCGAAGTCTGGCATCCAAACGGTATTTCCCCCCTCCTCCCGTCGCGCGCGGATAAGGCATTGCTGATGCGGTGTTTGTTCCAATGGCAGTGTATCCGAGCGGCTTAGTATGTATCTCGATCCTGCACCCACCGGGAGACGACCCGAACCACTACGAACATGCGTCGGAGCGCTGGTCGCCGATTCAGAGCGTCGAGAAGATCCTGATCAGCGTGATGAGCATGTTGGCTGAGCCGAATGACGAGAGTCCCGCGAATGTGGAGGCGGCGAAGATGTGGAGGGAGCAGAGACCCGAATATGAGAGGAGGGTTAGAGAGGGCTGTCGGCGGATGCTGGGTTTGTAGGGCTTGGTGCTTGGTGGTACGAGAGTGCTCGAGAGGATGTAGCAGTTGTCAGTCGTGGATGCGGACATACTTCAGGTACACGAGAGGGTCTCGAATCTGCTGATTAGCGGCTGCGGTGGCGTTCTGTTACATACAAGGGATGGAGTAGTGAGGCGTCTGGCCATTCGAAGATAATTCTTGTGTCCTTGACCTAGAAATTTTAGTCGAATGAGAACAATTTGGACTCATATACTAGAGACCAGTGGCTGCATTATTATCGTTGGTATGGGACAGGTGCCACTGGGGAGGCTCAGGAGGAAATGTAACAGAACGTCTCTGCTAGGCCGCCACGTTAGAACTTGTGTGGGTTGCATGAGGTATACTCAAGTCTTCACATCAAGAAAAATACGGTAGGGGGACTGATCATGGGCAAGAGAAGATAGGGTCAAGGCTGGGAAGTCTCGGCTGTGGCTGATTGTTAGAAAACTCTGTCACTGCTGTTCGACAGCGTCTGAGGGAAAGCCCGTCACGCTGTTCTTTGACAACATGCGAGAATTGAGTAGAGCTAGCACTAAAGTAGCACCAAGTTGAGAACGTGGGAGCAAACAACCCGCTTGTTTCATTGACGCCCTTCATTCAGAGCCTCCAGCAATTTCTCATCGAGCCAACCCTCCAACCCATCATCCCTCGAGCTCAGAATCTGGATCTCAGCCTTACAATTCAACATCAACATGATCTGCAATTCCCTCCTCCACCCCTCCTCCCTTGCTCCGTCTTGGAAGATCTCCTTATCCAACATACGAGTTGCGATCCTCCGATCTCTGTCTGTCAGTTTTAACCGTCCAGTCACCTCGCAGTCTTTCATCTGGAGGATGTCAGAACCCCGGATTCCAAGCCAGCGGATGGATGGGACGGCAAGATTTTGGTTCTGGTGAGAGAGGGCCATAGAACCATACTTGTAGGTGGACATTATGCCCATGCCGTTGGGGTCGAAGTCTACCAGGCAAAAGATTGGGATGTGGGGGTGGCTTGTGGAGAGGAGGTGCAGGAATTGTCGGGTTCGGATGTCGGGGTAGCCCTTTGCCTGCAACAGTATTAGAAATTCTTGTTGGCTGCTAAAATGGGACGTACAGTGATGATGATTCCTTTCCCAGCGAAGCAGGTTTGCCAGTATTGCTTGCTGGCTAGGGTACGGAAGGTTGCCTTGACGGTGTGAGCAGATTGATAAGAGGTAAGGCAGATGACCATACCTCTTTCTCAATTACAAGAACCCAGTTGACATCGATCAATTGGATAGACTGTATTTCTTTGGCATTTGGGACAAGAATGCCTTGAGGTTCGGAGCAGTAATCAACAACTGAACTATCCTTTCTCTTGGTGGTGAAAGATCCGGCAACCAAGCCTTTGGCTGCGGCAACCTAGCTAATAAATGAGAACTGGTACTGAACCATGAAATGGAATGTTGGGCCTTGCCACATTCAATGCATCCCGTTCCACACCCAATGTGTACGCAAGGTCGTCAACATAGCGATCGACAACGGCCTGCTTCAAGAAAAGTTCGGGATCTCGATAGTACATGTCTCTTGCGAAAGGATTAGCATATTTCCCTGTGACCAGAGGAAGAACAAAGAGAAGATAAGGAAACCGCAGTTTCGATGTTGGACATGATTTGGAAAATGGAACTTGCTGAAGAAACCTTTTCGTAGTGACAACACCCATAACCAGCGCCTCATGAGAGAGCTCAAGAATCCTAAGCAAAACAGCTGCAAGCTCATGAGCAAAAGATCATCCTCAGAAGCTCACAAACTTACTGAACTTCCAAGCTTCCTGAGGAGTCTTGCTCGGGAACCTAATGGCCCTCATCCCATCATCATGGAGGCTCTTCAAAACACCACTGGCGTTGTCATAGACTTGATTTCCTGGCTTTCTTCTGGTCTTTAGCTGTATCACCAACTCTTCCTTCTGATTTATGATGCTATCAGCAATTGACTCGAAGATGTCTTCAATTTTGGAGATAACGGCACCAGCCTGGTTCAGACTCAAGGGATTGAGGGATTCAGCTGGAGAATCTATTGCTTCTGCATCTGCATCTGGCCCATCATGATTGGCATCAGGCCTGTTATGGATCAGTGGCCTGTTGGGTAAGTTTGAGAGCAAATCACTGTGCAAGGCGGGATGACGATCTGCCAAGATTTCTGAAAGAATGTCAAGATCCATTTCAAGCCCACAGTTCAGAAAACAGCCCAGAATAGAGCCTTGGTGGATGGAATTGAGTATATATATATCTCGAGCTTCGATGCAAATAGTCGGGCTGGGCGGCTAAACGGCGGTTCCTGGCGCCAGCCTTTCCCCACAGCTTGTCTGCCCCTGTCCCTGGCGCCATCCCTCAAGACCTACATCGTAGGCGTCAATAATACCGAGGACCGTACAATGAGCCATTGATCCTCATCAGACTGCCTTGCAACAATCACCATGGCGCGCACTCGAGCAACGCAAGCCGCAAGCTCCGTCAATGAGGATGGCAGCCAATCTGGGGCGAAGGAACCAATGGAATCTGTTGCAGAGGCTACGGAGTCGGTGAGGAAACCGGTGCTGTCGGAGCGTACAGACTACACGCGCTGGCGATTGTTGGATGAGAGAGGCAGACAAACCTGGCATTACCTTGAAGATGACGAAGATGCCAAGGAATGGCCCCAATCCACCGCGGACAAATACTTCCTCGGTCTGCCAACGGTATGAGGACCTTGCGGCCATTCCAAACGTATTCTGACAATCTCGCAGGATCTCCCAGATCTCCCACCGGCCAAAACACCCCTCGATGCGGTCAAAAACGGTCTTGATTTTTTTCAGCAACTCCAACTTCCCCCCGGCAACTGGGCCTGTGAATATGGTGGGCCCATGTTCCTGCTCCCAGGGCTGGTCATCACTTGGACCGTAACCAACACACCCATCCCAGATCACGTCGCTACAGAAATCAAGAACTACCTTTTCGCGCGCGCACATCCAGAGGATGGGGGTTGGGGTCTGCACATTGAGGGAGAAAGCACCGCCTTTGGCACGGCCATGAATTACACTGTACTTCGTCTACTTGGGGTGGATGCAGAGGAGGAGCACATGGTCAAAGCCAGAGGAACGCTGCACAAGATGGGTGGTGCTAGGAATGGTCCACACTGGGCAAAATTCTGGCTCAGCGTGCTTGGCGTATGTCAATGGGACATTGTCAACCCAGTCCCGCCCGAATTCTGGCTTCTACCTGACTGGGTCCCATTTGCACCATGGCGGTGGTGGATTCACATGCGACAAGTGTTTCTGCCCATGTCATTCGTCTGGTCAAGACGCTGGACCTACCCGGAAACTCCCTTAGTACGCGATTTACGTCAAGAACTGTTTGTCGAGCCATACATTTCTATTAATTGGGGTAAGCATCGGAACAGCATTTACGAAAAAGATAACTACCATCCAAAAACATGGCTGCTTAAAACCGGGTTCTGGCTCATTGCCAATATCTATATGCCGTACCTCAGACCTTCTGCGCTTGTGAAGAGGGCAGAAGATTGGGTTTTTAAACTCATTCAAATGGAGGACAAGAATACCGATTTCTCGAACCTTGGACCTGTCAACGGGCCTATGAATTTCCTCGTCTGTTATATCAAAGAAGGCCCAAATGCCTACTCCGTAAGGCGGCACCGGGAAAGGATGGCTGACTTTATGTGGGTAAAGAATGAAGGCATGCTGATGAATGGCACGAATGGCGTTCAATGTTGGGATACGTCTTTTACGATCCAAGCAGTGATGGATGCTGGACTTGCTGAGGATCCCAAGTACAAGAAAATGCTGACAAAGGCACTGGAATTCTTGGACGACCAGCAAATCCGCGAGAATGTCGACGATCAGGCTATTTGCTATCGGCAACAGCGAAAGGGAGCTTGGGGATTCAGTAACAAGGATCAGGGCTATGCTGTGAGCGATTGCATCTCAGAGGCGCTTAAAGCTGTTCTCATCCTTCAACGGACTCCAGGGTTCCCCACACTGCTTGAGGATCAGCGTATTTACGATGCCATTGATACCCTGTTAACATACCAAAATCCTTCTGGAGGCTGCGCATCGTACGAGCCGACCCGTGGGTCTGAAGCGCTGGAGCTCCTCAACGCGGCAGAAGTTTTCGGGCGAATCATGATCGAATATGATTACCCCGAATGCACAACGGCTGTGGTGACGGCTCTCTCCTTATTCTCAAAATACTACCCCAACTATCGATCTGCCGAAATCAAAGCATTCAAGGATCGTGCGATCGCATACATCCGAAGAGCCCAATTCCCAGATGGCAGCTGGTATGGCAGCTGGGGCATCTGTTTCACGTATGCCGGAATGTTCGCTCTGGAAAGTCTAGCTAGTATCGGCGAGACGTACGAGAACAGTGAGCATGTTCGAAAAGGATGCGATTTCCTAATCTCCAAGCAGAGAGCTGATGGCGGCTGGTCGGAAAGCTACAAGGTCAGTTCCCCCACCACCGTACCCCTATCCCCCCTCTCCTAAATAATATACTAACCTACATCAGGGTTGCGAACAATCAACATATATTGAGCACCCCAGCGGCTCGCAAGTCGTCATGACAGCTTGGGCCTGCATCGGTCTCATCGAGGCCCAATACCCACACCGCGAGGCCATTGAACGCGGCCTGAGACTTATCATGAGTCGCCAGCAGAAGAACGGCGAGTGGTTGCAGGAGGCAATCGAGGGGGTCTTCAACAAGAGCTGCATGATCTCCTATCCAAATTACAAGTTCATCTTCCCGATTAAGGCGTTGGGCATGTTTGCCAAGAAGTACGGGGATGTGGCGTTGTTGTGAGCGGGAGATTGGGATGGGAATCGGTAGTTGAGCTGGTATCAAATAGCCCCAGTCTCCAATGTTAATCTTGTGGGGAAGTGATATTTTAGTTTTTTGTCTTGTAATACCACAAAACCTTGAAGGGAAACAAGGCAGCTTGGCCCATGTATCTTATTTATTATGAGCTGTTCAGGACCTGAAATAACCCTGGGCTGAAATTATTAAGTTAATGCACTGAAAAATCCCAGACATAGCTTCTATTGATGTATAAACACTCTGGTAAAGGACTGTGGATATGAAGACTTCCTATGTTTATCTACATATAACATTTGTCATTCTCCTATGAGCAACAAACTCGCATACCCACCAACCATGAATAGAAGGAGACAAATATTCGATTCCTAGGGACTGGACACGATATGTTCAATCCTATGAGTTGCATGCAACAATATTCCTGAAAACAAGAAAAACAAAACGATAACCATTCTAATATGCAAGACCGAAACGTGGAGCAGAAAGGGGTATATTATCGTAGACGGGTTTACCATGTGCTGAATGAATAGTGGGTTTCGAGAAGGTAGTGAGGAGTGGGTCTGGATGTCGAGTGAGGGACTTTAATGCCCGTAACTGCGATCTTCTCTCCCGTCGACCCAGCCTAGAATAGTCAAGTTAGCATAATCAGACGCAGCGGGTTGGAAAGTATGGTTCGGAGGTTGCGGTCAATCCACACTCCGGAAGTAGGGGAAGGTTCACAGGTCCATCTCTTATCAAGATGTGGATCTCGGGGGCTTCTTACTGGTGCAGTTCACGCACCGTTTAGCCTTCTCGCTGATCTTCTTCAGACAGTACTTGCACTTCACCTCGTGTTTGATGATAGGATCACTCGATGCGAGTTCGGCAATACTGGCAACGGCGTACAAAGCCAGGCCTACGCCCATGAAATTAATGACTTTGTTAAGGAACGTCCTAAATAAGGTATCAGAGACATGTCTCATTATTTGTCAACGGAGGAAAGGATTTTCCAATTCATGTTTTAGGAAAGAATAAAACGACAGCATACCCATAAGACAGGACAACGGCCCCGTCAGCTAATGCCTGGTCCATGGTATTATATCCATGGCCGTGCGTCCCGTTATGGTAGTTCTTGCCCGCTCTCAGGACCGCGAACTTCTCCTCCATGTTCCGGTTTATGAACGGGAGGAGGGAGAGCGGTGGGAGAAGGATATCCGATACGAACGAGGTGACTACCGAAGTAAAAGCCGCTGCGATTCTGTTGCGCTCCTGCATCAGTCTCCCATCGAGGACCCAGTCACGTGATAACAGAGATAAAGGGGTAAAGACTTGGGTCGACCATTATGTTGGCCAAACAGCAGTAAATGGAGAAGAGAGAGGATTGCAGGATAAACAGGGCGTACATCAAGCCAACAGCAACTTCTAACACGTTCTCACGTAGGGCAAAGTCGGAGAAGCCAGACAAGAGACGCTTGGCTCGCCGCTGGACCTCTGCTCTCGCATCATGGAGGATCTCGCTGGGGTCTTCGAGGCGGATGCCAGGCATTATGTGCAATTCTCTTGAGTGATGTGTAAAGGGGACAAGTAGGTGAAGGAGGAATTGAAATGCAAAAGAGTTGCATCGAAGAGAAGAAACAATACGTTCATGTACGGGGCACTTATAGGTAGCCTTGGCTGAACGGCTGAAACGAGGGGTCATCACGTGCCATCCTTATCGCCGAACAAACAAAAATAAATAAAATCTTCAGGGTTGGCCCGTCGTGGCGGGGTTCGACGATTTCGATTTCCAGGAACACCAAAACGTCGGATCGCCTACGATGTCCGCTACGCTCTCGGAGGACGAGATCGATGATCTGCTGTACTTTGCGCGCACGGGCGACAAGCAGGAGTTCGATGTGCTGAAGGACGAGCTGTGCAGGAGGGAGAAGGTAGATGTGGTGGGGTTGCTCGAGGTCGCGAAGGATGAGGGGAGTGGGAATGGGGTCTTGCATATGGCGGCTGCAAATGGACATGCAGGTGAGTTTCTTCACCTGGAGCAACTTAGAAAGGTTCTTGGAATATTAGAACAGGCTGACATTTTGAGTCGTAGAATTCTTGAGCGCCATTTGCAAGGAACTCGCCATTCCCTCGCCCCAGAACCCGGCCATGTTAGCGATCATAAACGCGCAGAATCTTGCGGGCAACACGGCATTGCATTGGGCTGCTTTGAACGGACACTTGGATTCCGTGAAAGTGTTGCTAGAGCAAGGAGGGGACCCCACGATCACGAACCAGAGAGGCCACGATGCCGTGTACGAGGCGGAGCTGAATGACAAGCAGGAGGTTGTGGACTGGGTATTGAAGGAGGGAGGCGAAGGTCTGGAGGAGGTTGTCAGCGGTGAGACTGCAGATGCTGCTGAAGAGGATAATGCGGATGCGGATACGGCGATAGATGAGGACGGCGGCAGGACGGACGAGAATTCGAATAAATTGGAACATGATCTGAAGGATATGCATATCCAGGATAACGCTACCAGCCATTGAGCTCTATGCTCGGTCATGCACTACCTACGGGGCTCGATCAACGGGCCTCCTTAACACGCAAGTGACCCAACCGTCACTACACCATATCTTCTGGCCCCACACTGACGACGACCGCCTTTGGCTCCAGACGTATAACTAGGAGGATAGATGCGCTGGACCTACCATGTATCGAGGAAGTCTTGGCTTCTTAAAAGCGGTACATATCAGGAAGATGATAGTCTGGTATCCTCACGAAAGGAAGCATTCGAGATGCACATCGATTATCGATACCATCAGTTTCCAGACCTATAGTTTGTCAGAAAAAAAAAAAGAATAAATAAAAATCCTCATTTCGAAAATATACTCCGATGATACTTGAATTAAAGAGGATGTATCTTCCTCGTTTCAGGAATTTGTCTCTGTGATACTGTCCCTCATGGTGTTAATTAGGTACCCCCTCTAGCTGCTTTACTGCTGCTGACACATATTTTCTGGTAAATAGATACACCTAGAAGATATTGAGAAAGGAGCACAGCTTTTAACCTATCCCCAAATGTCAGACTCTGATATGAGGCTCTAATATCTGGGAAAGCTTCATTGGGACTCGATGTCATAGAAACTAAGCGTCAGGGATAGGGGCGAGGAGAAATGAGTGGAACGTCCTATCTGATCTGGTATTAAGGCAGTTAAGCTCTCCCTTCTCCCCGCGGATGATTTCATTCAGCAAGCACTAAAGGTAGTTCTGGACTGACACCTTAAACCTTTCATGAGATCGACTATTGAAGAGAACCAGATCCATTCGAAAAGCCATATCCTACAAACAATCCGTCCAAACTTGATGCGTGATGAAAGTGTGGAAATCTTCCGCTACCAGTCCTTTCCTAGCTGTAGGAAGTACCCTTGGAGGGGCAGAGAGGAAGAGCAAGGAGTCTCGCTCCAGAGAAGAGAATGGCAAGATAGCTCAAACTTTGGTATTTATTAATGAGCGTTGGAAGAAGATGCGGGAAAATAACCTCCTGATTCATGAACGTCCCCCTGTGGTTGCCATCTCATCCGTTCATCATGAAGCTGACGAATTCTTCATCTGTAATGGGGCAAAGTTAGCAGGTGACAGAGAGATGCGATGTATCGTTCAAGGTATTCGAGGGACTTACAATCGATAGTTCCATCACCATTCTTGTCGACCTCCTTGATCATACTGTCCAGTTCGTCCTCCGTCAACATCTCTCCAAACGACTTCATGACCCGACGTAACTCATCCAGGGAGATGGTTCCACTGCCATCGAGGTCGAAGACTTTAAATGCGCTCTTCATCTCGGCCTCAAAGTCGATATCCCTCGTAGGGGCAGTCATCATCTTGCAAAATTCTAGTTTGAAGTCAGTCCTATGACATCTTTAGTGCGGGTCGAAGTACACTGTATTATTGCGAGGGTAAGCATACCATCGAAATCAATACTTCCATTGCGGTCAGTGTCGACCTCATTGACCATGTCTTCGATCTCGGTCCTGGTGGGGTTTTGCCCCAGAGACTTCATGACTTCGTGAAGCTCCGAGATGGAAATGGTTCCTGTTCGGGCGCAAGATGATTAGATCACAGTTCAAGGGCCAGTAGGGTAACCCGTGGTTCATTGAGCACATACCATTGCCATCGGCATCCTGGAGATATTGTTAGTCAAGACAAGCTGTTCACGCCAAGCAGATTTCACTCACAAAGAGCGAGAAAGCATGTCTGTACGCTGCGATCTCCTCCGGGCTTGGTTGTGCCTACATACAACGAGGTCTCGTCAGTTCAAAAATCGTGCGAGCGCCCATAGATCGGAATTATCGAGATAAGGCCTTACAAGAGACTTGGCGTCCATCGTGACGATGAATAAAGCAGAAGAGTGCTGGTAACTCAAAGACGTCCTTACAGAGGGTTTCGCAGCGATCAGGTTCCCAAGATGCTAAGAAATGAGCCTCCTTGTCTCTTTCGACAAGGTCGCAAAAAGACTTTGCGCTGCGAAGATCACTGGCCGCAGCGAACTGCAGGCTGTAAGGCAAAGTAGCTGGGGTAGGACACGTGAGCGGGGTAGCCTCCTCTGAGGCTGAATCTTGTCGATGTTGATGCTGCTCTTCTCCCCAAGGTCCTCGCACCTGAATGAACAGCGCCGGATATTGCGGTCTTGGGTGTTTCGAGAGGGCGAATGGCCAAGGCAAACGGTGAGCTGGGTGATCAGGTACGGCTGTCAGGTCAGACACGAAGATCTGAAATATACATTTGGGTCACGTTTCACCAGTTGTATATTACATAAGGGTTGAGTCAGCCCATAGCGCCGAAGGATATCATCATGTGATAAAGGTCGACAAGCAATATACTTCTGTTCTAGCAATATAAGTAGATGAAAGAGGAGCTCTCTATTGCGGTTCTTACTCTTGTAGAACAGAACAGGTAAAATGTCCTTTAGCATCCAGGTCATCATGTGACACTAACAGTAACGAGCCCCTATTCCACGACAGAGGATCTGGCTCGATACAGTCTTACACGAGTGCGACCGGGAGAAACGGTTCTTCGAAGGCCAGGGCAACCGGGACTTCCCTGACTTATTGATGTATCGCTGCCGCCGAGATATATCACCAAGAAATGTTGGAACCTTCCGGGACACAAGGCCAGAGCTGGGTATGTTTAGTTTACCAGCATTCCCACTGTCGTATTTCTTGCCAGTTCAATAATCTGTAATCTCTGGTTTGAACTTACAGACTGATCACTGGCAGAGTAGTAGAACTGAAAGCATGAGTTGAAGAGCGACGAGAGAGGGGGCCATCACATCAGCGGGAGGAACGGTCACTCAACTTGAACCTGATTCCTGATTCCTGATACCGGAATGCCTTTTATTTAGCCTTCCCCATGTTTTAGCGGATAAACATCTGTCCCACCTTACTCCTGAACTCTTTAAGGTTTAAGCACACTTTCGGAACCACCTAGGCTGCTCGGAAACCCATAGGTCCCTACTAAATAGGTTAGGTACCTACCCTATAGGGTAGGTTATAGTATATAAGACCTAACCTATAGGTCCTTAAATAAATCTACGACCTAACCTATAAGGTAGACCTAACCTATAAGTATAGTGTTCCTTAAGGTACTAAGGTACCTTTATACTTATATAATACCTAAGGTTATAATTATTAATTAGTATAAAGATTAGTATAAAGATTAGTATAAAGATTAGTATAAAGATTAGTATAGTTATCTTAAGTTTATATACTTATATAATAAATAAATTAAAATAGTTTAATATATCTTTATTTTAGTACTTAGGCTCTACTAGCCTTAAGTCCTTACTTACTTTACTAACTTATAATCTATAAGAGATCTTATATCTTATAAATCTTATACTTATTTCTTTAGTATATTAAGACCCTTAAGAGTCTCTAGTATAGATCCTAAAAGTAAAGTTAGTAAAACTAACTTTATACTATTATTATCTTTATTAACCCTTTACTCTAGAATGTCCTTATCTTTAAAGTCTTTTAGTAAAGTATAGATTAGTATATCTTATATAGTATTTCTTTTCTTAATCTTTACTATTTATATACTAAGTATTTTACGTATAAATATAAAGAGTACTTAAGTATTATTATAAGCAACTAAACGAGCTTATAAGAGCCTCTTATATATAATAATATTAAGACGTCTTTATACTTAAACTATTTACGCTTAGTAGCTTATCTAGTTTAGTTTTCTTTTTTTTTATTACTAATATAGTAATCTACTCTTTATATACTAACTTCTTTTTAATATAAGCTAACTAAATTTTCTTACTCTTTTACCTTAGCTTTTATCTCTTCTTTAGTTATACTATTAATATTAATATTATTATTATTCTTACTACCTACGCCTAATGTATTGTTAGGTATATTTCTATAGAGTAAAAGAGGTAAGAGTTAATAGACAGTTGTAGTATATTTAAAGGTATATTACTACTTTAACTATAGACTAATCTCTAAACCTTTTTTCTTTTCTTTCTTCTTTTTTTATTCTTATACTTCTTAACGCCTACTATTACTTTAGTTATAGTATATAGTTACTCTATACTTAATTTCTAAGCTATTATAGTCTTATGTATTAGTATACCTAATATAGTATCCTTCTTTTTTAGCTTTTGTCCTTAAAAGCTTATAAGTAGCTATTAGATTATAAGAAGGCTATATTAGGCCTAGATATAGCCTTTAAATACTCTCTCTCTAAAATAAGAGAATAAATTAGTAAATAAATACGTGTCTATATAACTAGTAACATTAAGAAAAAGAGAGTAGTAGTAACTTTATAGTATAGTAAAGGCGTATAGCTAAACTATAAGATCTTTATTATATATTATACTTTTAGATCTCTACCTTATACCTCTTATATTTACTTTTAGCTAAGACACTTTATAGTAGAGTACTAGTAGGTTACTAAGTAGTTATAAGACCCTTAATACGTAGTACCAACTATATTACTTAAGTACACTAGTATTTCTTACTCTTTTACTACTTTTAAAAATCCTTTATTACTTCTTACTAAAGGGTTAATAGTATACTAATAGTAAGTAGCTATAAAGACTAAACTATATTACTTATAATCGTATTTTTTAAGTAAATATAAAAAAACACTTCTTTTATCCTTTTTTACTTAGTCTTACCTCTATAGTACTAAGAGGTATATAAAGACTTGTTTTTACTAGTTTATTACCTTCTTTTCTTTTTTTTACTTTATATAAATATAACGCTAGTACGCCTTTCTCTTTTTTATAACTCTTTTAACAAACTTCTAACAAACCTTAATTAAACTACTAATAATAATATAGTACTAATAAAGCGTTTAGTAGCTTATAAGTAGTGCCTTAACTAAATAGCTTTATAAGACCTATAAGGTACCTTACTAAAGTATAAGGATAACGACTATAAGTATTCCTTTTTAGTAAAGAGTAATAGCCTAATTGTTACAGGTTAGAACCCGGTAAGGGGTTAGTGCCGAGCACGTGACCAACCAGACTATCGTTACCCTACCTTAATAGTAAAGTTTTCTCTTACCCTTTATCTTATATAAACCTTTTTTTTTCTTTTTTCTTTAAAGTATTTTCTTTATAAAATAAATTAACTTTACTTAAGTATTATGTTATTAACCCTTAACATTAGAATACTCTTAACCCTTTTTATCTAATTAGAGCTTTTTATAGCTTTATTATATAAGAGTATAAGATAAAGTAAGACTACTTAATAATAAGTTTTTAAACCTTTTTTACTAGCTTATCTAGAGGCTAAAATAACTAAGAGTAGTCGTCTACTAAACTAAGGTAAAGAGAACGACTAGAGTATAAAGTAAAGTAGTTAAGGTAAGTAGTATAATAGCTCTAAGCCTAGGTAGCCTAATACGTAAGCCTGCCCTCTTTTATACTAATCTTAGCTACCTTAATACTATTATCTATAGTCCTAATACTATTACTTACTACTATCGCCTTTATAAGGCTACTAGCTAAGCTACTAGCTAAGTAGTAAAAAAGGCTTCTTTTAGATACTACTATATTTAATAAAACAAAAGCCTAGTTTACTATATAGTGTTTAGTAATTAAAGCTAAACTTATAGTAGATCTTACTTATAATACACTAACTATATAATTCTAGTACGTTTATAGCCGACTAATAAGTAAGGCCTTAACCTAGATTACTTTTTAGGTTAGGTTAAATATATAAAATAGGGTAGAAGCTAGTACTCTTATACCCTAACTAAGAGCTATAGTAAGGAGCCAGAGAGTAGTAGGAGTAATAAGGACGATAAGACAGAGAAAATTATATAAAGAATCAAAGCTTACGTAATACTAAGTAAAGAGAAAGAGGCGTCGCGTCTCTTACGCGACCTTATTACTATAATAATAACAGTAGTAAAAACAAGAGCTATAAACACGACAACCTTCTTGTATACCCTTAAGTCCCCTTTTAACGATAACCTAGTAACGATTAGACAACTAAGAACGATATTAGAAAAGGCCTTTTAGAGGCTAGTAATAATAGTAGCCCTTTAGGCTACTTACGCGTTAGTAGCGAGCTAGCGCCTAACAAGAGTCTAGGTTATACTAGAGAGGCAGATTAAGGAGCTAAGGATTAGGGCAGACAAACAAATAAAAGACCTAGTACGTTATAGCGCTATTAAAGTAGTAATAGTAGCTAATATAGTAATAGAGGGCGCTAAGGTAGTAGCGACCTACTAGCTACCTAGTAGTAACACTATCCTTACGTTTAAAGAGGCTATACTAAAGAACGTAATCTAAGATTAGGGCTAAGTATAAAGGGCGTTTAGGCCTGTAGCCTAGCTTTATAAGAGTAAGTTTACTATAATCGTAAAGGGCCTACTAGTAGAACAGATTATATAAGTAGAGCTAAGAGTATTACTAGTAGAGATCTAAGCCTATACGCTATATGTTATAAAGGTTAAAGTTAAACCTATTAGGGCCCTTATAGTAAAGTTTATAATAGTAGTACTATACCTTTAGAGCGCTAACGTAACAACGCGCCTATATAAACAAGAGTTAATCTAGTAAGCCTAGATCTTTAACTATAAGCCGTATTTAGCCGACCTACAAATCTAAAGATACTTTTAGTACTACTAGTTTAGCTATATTAGGCGGTTCTATAAGAACTAGGCCTAGTACAGCTACTATACAAGAGTAGTGTACCCTTAAGGTAAAAAGGAGTACCCTTAACTTAATAGTAAAAAGAGATACGTTAACTATAGTAGACTATACGTAGTATAAGACCGTTAGTATCTTAAGGCCCTTAAGGTAAAGAAGTAGGTATATACTATATATTAACAAAGGCCTAGATAGTTTAAGGTATCTAAGAGTAG